CCTCGGTCTCCCAAACTGCTGGGATTACAGGCATGAGCCACTGTGCCCGGCCCATTTCTTTAGTCCAAACAACGTGTTTGCATTTGGTCACTGGAAGGATGCTCCTTCACGTACTGATTCATTCATTTGGGAAGTGTCTATTGGAACCTGAGTTTCAGGACTATTGATGTACTCTTAGATCCCATCCATACTTAAGTTACAACAACTTTCATTTGTATGTGATGCAGTCATTTATTTATTCAGTAAATATTTACTGAACACCTACTGTGTGATTAGCACTCTCCCTGACACCAGCAGGAATATCAGTGAAGGAGAAGCCCTATTTTGTGTCCTTGGGGATTTAGCAGTTAAGGTGTAGAATGCTCCAGGCAAGTGGGTGATAGGATTTCTCTGTCTGAGACCAGGTGAACTAGTGAGTGCGTAATGTGCTCTGTAAGAGTATAATGTGGAACACATTTCCAGAGTCCAGATGAGAATTTGCAGGGTTGAATCAGAAAAATAGGAAGCTATCCAGAGATTAAACAGAAAGGAATTTTCCTTGTGTTATAGCTGACAATGGAGGATTGATTAGAAAGAAAACAAACGTTAGAGTCTATGCTGTTTCCCTGTAATTACTTCTCAGTAAACCAGAGTCCAGTGTCTCATTCAAAGGCAGTGCTCCTTCTCTTGTCCAGTCAGTGAACTTCCAAAAAAACAGCTTTAGGGGAGGGAAGGTGGCACCTTTCTCCATTTGATGCGGTACCAGTTGTGTCCTTAATGAAGCCTAGAAACCAGAGGCTGCACAGTACCTGGAGCCAGGTGTCCTGTCTGCACAGAATAACTCCCTGCTGGGTTATGAGTGACAGCGTACCCCCTCTTATGGGCCATATTCTCTACAAAATAGGCAGTCAGGTGATTCAGAGAAAACCCCATTCTGCCAAATGCACCAGCGCCATGCCGTTATTTCTTAATTGCTGGCAAATGCTGGCCCATTTTGCTGTGTAGAGGCCCATCAGAGGCTGTCACTGAGTGGAGCCTGCTGTCGGTGACTGGCCCACCACCCAGAACGGCTGACTGCTGCCAGCCATTGCCCAGCCCTCGGCAGGTGGCTGCCTTGCAGAAGGTGTTGTTCTCTAGCCAGCAGATTTGGTGGTGGGCACCCAAGGTCACATTTGCCTATTCGTCTCTGCAAAACAGTGTCCCAAGGACACTGAAGAGATAAAGTGAGGATATTGGTAACGCACGGGCATCAAGCTGGAAAAGTTTTTGATGGCAGCCCCTGTAGGTGGAGGTGAATTTTATTAGCAAGGCTGTGACTGGTGACAGCTCCTGCAGCAATGAGCTCTCCTTTCATTTGTGATCTGAAATTTCATTTAGTGTGGGAGTGCTTTAAGCTGTTGTTTAGATTTTTGACTGAATTTAGATTGAATAGGAAAATTAATGTTGTATGTTTAGAAGGGGTTGTCAGTTCCTTTTTTTCTCTTTCCAATGAGTGCTGATGCAGCATCTTCAAGAAATTAAGGAGGATTTTAGCTCTGTGGTTCTTGTCCAACTCAAAGTAGCTCAACTGGCCTAGGATCCAGACAGTCCCTGGTCGGTAATCACATGATCATAGCAACCTGAATGTCTTTGGCAAACCTATGTGTTGTGATTATTCAGAAACAATGAGGAAGATATCAACCAATTCATATTATTTGCTTAAAACACATTTTGTTTAGAACCATCCCAAACTATTTGAGTTTTGGGGTTGGGCAGAATCACTTACAGATCCTTGGATGATTAATAAGGACACAAGGAATAGAGTGACTTTGACACAGGACATTTTGGTGTTGTTTTTCTTTCATACCTCTCTTCTAGAGAAAGAACAAAACGTCCACTCATCATTGTTTGTCTTGCGTTCCTTGTAGAATTGCAAATGGACATTCTTCACCCTGCTTCACAGTTTTGCTCTGTTTCCTGAGATGCTTCCTACTCTTTCAATACATTTTCTTCCTCTTCCCTTTCAGCATTTTTTTTTTCTGTCTTTCTTGGCACTTTTTGCTGCACTCATCCTAGATGCTTAGAGATCTCCATGCATTACAACTTGCTTTCAGAAAAGGACCTGGTATGTGCCTGTAAAGTTATGTCACTATGAACATATTCCAAGAGATAGCTGATTTCAGAATTGGACAAAGTCTTGATATATGAAGCATTTCAATCCCCTATGATCTAGTAATAGTAATGTTCTAGGGTCTAGAGGGATGTAGGGAAGCTGCCTACTTTCTCTTCATGTAAAACTGGCCCTGAGTTTGTCATCATCATAATTGTAGACATTTGGGTCATATTTTATGGTTTTAAAAGAACTTTGACATCCATTATCTTCTTTAGTACTCATTGGACCATCTGTGCATTTTAGCATCCCAGGGTAACTTCAGAGCAGGGCATCTAAGCTCTGTGCAGACAGCGTAACTCTCCTGGGCACAAATCATGGCCACCACTCTGCAGCCAGTGAACGGAGAGACAGAACAGCTTACTGCCACCGACTCTTTAAATGGAGCCACAGCCCGTTGAGCCAAACTGTGGTTCCTGAGAGTAGGCATTACAGAAGGGCTGATGCTCTCCAAACTGTATCTTTTAATATCACTAGAATTCTTGGAGAGAAACGCTTTCATGCTGGCCATCTTTTTCATGCTGGCCCGGCATCTTCTGATTTGAGTGTAAATGGCTCAAAGCTCTTCAAGGAAAGATTGGTTTATAACTTCTTGGAAAAGTGTCACTCCTGATGACTTACTTGTCATTGGATTTTTTATTTTTCTGAAAGACTCTAGTGAAAGAGGCCTATATCTCTGGAAACCAAGTCCCATGAGCCCAGTGCAGATAGAGGCAAGTTCTTTGAGCTTTCTTTCTCACTGTCCACCTGACACTTGGGCAATCATATTAAATCGTTTCCTCTTTCATGGACTTCTTTCTTCCTCATGGTGGCTTTCCCAAATTGTATGTAGTGAGGGATGGAACTGGGAGTGAAATTAATCTCTCCTGGTTGTCCAGGACAGCCTGTTTCCAGTTCCTTCTCCATGGAATGAAGGAGGGGTGGTGAAGTAGCAGAAATGAAGAGCAGCCAGATCTGCCAGATCTGCTCTTTATATTATCCAAGTTAGGGAGAGAGGATTTGCCTCCAGACTTCTGGGCACTAACACTGGCATTTTTCATCAGACTCAAATTGCTTTAAATGGAAAAGGACGAAGTTTCCAGAAACAAAGGATTTACGTTCCTGGGTCAGTCTCCTTTCTTTGTTTCATGTGCAGAGATTTCCCTCCAAGCGTTCAGCAGGTCACCCTCACTCCTTCCCTGCATTGGAGAAAATATAATGCCCAAAAAAAGAGGGCAAAGAACCCTGATATAAGGAACAAACTCAACTTTTCTATGTAATCACATGGCCAAGTGTCAAGGTGGACAGTGAGAAAGAAAGCTCAAAATATGCCTACAGAGTTCAAACCAGACAGCGCCATGGGGGACCCAAGGATGAAATGCCTGAGCCTCATACCCTAGGTAGCACATGCGGATAGGAGAGACTTTCTTTGAAAGGTTTGGCTTGTTTGTTTGAAGTTGCCATGAAGGTTTGGAGGTGTCTCTTTAGGGCTTCGACCAAAAAAATCTCCTTTCACACACCATGCTTGACTTGTTCATTACTTAAACTTAATTTCTCCTCATTCTTCTCAGGTTCTCAGATGATGTTACTGCAAATCAGTATTTCTCAAGTTATACCAATGTGTTCTTTACAATGCCCAGGAAGTAAAAGGGAAAGTGGCCATCTGAAGCCAGTGGAGAGTAGAGAAAGGAAGGGATAAAGGGTAGGGCTAGTTGTTGGAATTGAGTCTGCAGTGTGGGGAAGGTCCTTTGATAGCTTGATAGCTTGACAGCAATTACCATTTGCTGTGTCCCCTCTATGAGACTATTTTAGCCATTCTCTCATCAGGGAGGGCACAGTCATCTCTCCCTGGAATAACCACTTTTGGCTTAGGATGCACAAGATTGTCACAGAAGTGGATTTTGCAAGAAGGAATTTCACAAGAGTGGCATTTTTGAAAGCAGAGTGTGGAACCCTTGGACTTACTCTTTGTTTCCACAATGAAATCTTCCATCTTTCTAGTTCAACTATTGTATATTGTTCTGAAAGTGAAGGGAAGACTACCTTGGTGCTCCTTGTGTTTGCTGAGATGTGCAGAGAAATAACAACTCCAAAGCCATAGAATCTTGGCATTAGCAGAGACTTAGAAGGGCTGTCTGATTCAACCTCCTAGTACAGAGCAAACGTTCTTTCCATAGTAACTTGGAGAAATACTTACTGAGTCTTAGGGACAAAGACCTTTCATTTTTTAAGGTAACCTTCTTCGTTTGGTAGACAAATTACATTCTTAGGAAGTTCATTTATAAAACAAGACAAAAATCTGCTTTCTTGGAATATATACCAGTCAGTCTTAATTCTGGCTTCTAGAACAAAGCAGTACAAACCTAATCTTGGACACAGCAGCACCTGAAGTATTCAGATGTAATTATCCTGTCTCTGTGAGGACGAGAGCCTTCTTCAGGCCAAATATTACTGGCTCTCTTAACTGTTCCTCAAAAGATCTTTTCCAGACACTACCTCCTCTTGTCTTTGTCACTTTTCTCTGAAAGTTATTCAGTTGATCATTTTCCCTCTTTAAATCTGACTGAAAACTGGATCAAGTACTCTGGAACTAGTCTGACCAGTTCGCAGCAGAATGAAATGTTCATTTCCCTTGATCTGGAGAGCATTTCTGACAAGTAGATGCTGGTTTTCTCTGTAATGTCACATGGCTGGCCTAAAATTTGAGGTTTTAGTTACCCACACACTTACATTTAGCTTTGTGTGTTTTGTTTTCTTTTATTTCTCTCCTGCCTACTGCCAAGCTAGGTCTTCTCATTTTATATAGTTGATTTTTTTTAACCTAAATGCTGTACTGGACATGAAAGCCTTGTAAATCTTTTTAGTTTGGTCTTTTGCCGATTTTTCCAACTCTGGAGAACCTTACTTTGATTCTTTCATCCAATGTCTATGACTCTCTGCTTCATGCCACTTAAAAATAATTGGATGAGCATGCTGCTGGGTCCTTGTCTCAGGGCCTGACATAAGGGTTGAATAGGACCAGTCCATTTGCAAAAGATTGGAAACATCAACATTGTGATTCACCTGATGTTTTAGGCCAGTGGTTCTCAAAGTGTGGCCCCTAGATCAACAGCATCAGCGCCACCTCCAACTTGTGAGAAATGCCAAATTCTCCAGCCTTACCCTAGATCTACTGAATCAGAAATGCCGGCGGTGGGAGCGGGGGGTCAACAATCTGTGTTTTCACAAACTGTGCAGGTGATTCTGATGCCCGCTCCTGATGCCTGGGAGTCACCGATCTGGAGTATTGGAAAGGCAGGTAAAAAAGAAACTGAAAATATACAGGCATTTGGCACTCTTACAGTCTATTTGAGGACTCAACCTAACCATTTAGCTAGACATCTTAGTAACCCCAGCTGATGTGTCTGTCACAAGAGGAAATTCCTCTGGGCTCTATTTGGCTAAATGGCCAACCCAGGGGAGGACTTGGGCTTGGTAGGTACAGAAGCAACGGTCCAGAGAGACTGAAGTGTGATGAGCAGAAGAGTTGCGTAAAACAGCAAACATCAGACCCCAGCAAGAGAAAAGAAGGGCAAGACTGAATGGCCCTGAGTGGTCGGGCAATGCTGCATTTCCCAGAAGAAATGTTGAACAATCGAACATTTAACAGAGTGAGGTCTCATACCTGCTTTTCTTTCCCCAGGCCCATCTGCTAAACATCCCGAGCTGGAATTGGAAAGAAGGTGATGACGCAATCTGCCTCGCAGAGCTGAAGTTGGGCTTCATAGCCCAGAGCTGCTTGGCTCAAGGCCTCTCCACCATGCTTGCCAACCTCTTCTCTATGAGGTCATTCATAAAGGTAACGTCTCGTCTTATTAGAGCACATTAGCTCGGGATTCCATTTGTCGTGGGGTTGAGCAGAGAGCACAGCTTAAACTCAAAACAGATCGACGGGCTCTAACCACTTGGGTTAAGGAGAAATTCCTTGTCATGGATTTGGGCATGAAGCCAACTTCTTTCAAAATTATGTTTTTATTTTTATTTGGCACATCCACGGCCATTAAATGATTGTTCAAAGCACAATCCCCTCTTTTTTTAGATAAACCACATGTTTATCTATCAACAAAGCCTCCGCTGTTAAAACAAAAATATGATTTATATACATTCCATATGGCAAAAGAGCGCCTAAAGAAAAGCATTATCATTTTGCTCTTTTATATCAAGTGGCTGGTGGACCTCTCACTGTGTGGATAAATGCAGACCATGTGTTTGTGCTGAAGCCCAAACCCCAACAACATAATTCATTTATTTATTTCTGCACAATCAAGGAGGCCAGCAGGACTGACATGCCGCGGTTGTTTGAATGGAGAGCGAAACAATGTACTGAGTCCTCGGCAGCAGTGCCCTTTGCATGGAGAGAGAGGCAGTCTGGATGTGTTCATGTCCTTGTCGGGGCTGGCTGGGCAGCCACTCCAAAGTCCCCAAGGTGGCCATACCTGCTGCACCAGTGCAGGCAAAGAGAAAAAAAACCAACTCTGTCCTCCCAGGGTGGGCCAGGTTAGGACTGTGATTTCAGAGCCTTGCACTGAGCATCCAGCCCCTACCAAAGAGGCTTCTGGAGCCTCTTTGGATGAGGACTGGAGGACAGTCACTCCAGTCCTCATCCTTAGACTGTTCTTAGATTAGGCAGTCAAGGTGACAAACCAGGGTGTAAGACAGGTCTAGCTTGGGCCTTTCTGATATGGCATGGGAGGCAGTTAGCTATGGATCTGGGCTAATATCCTTCCTCTTATTATGTAAGGAGCAGAATTAATAGCTGGCAAGGTGGAAAATTACATCCTTAGGAAGTCCATGAGTCAGCACGAGGTCCGTAAAGGAGGCCAGAAGCTCTGCAATCAAAGGTGTGAGACCTCCTGCCTTTTGCTGTCATGTGGATGCCTAATCCACTGCCACGTTCCTTGATGGTGTTGAGGAAATGGCCTAGGTTGCAATAAGAGGGATGTGTGGGAAGCATGAGGACACAGATGTGTTAGTGCTCACCACGGGCACCTGTGAGTGATAGTATTTAGAGCAGGAGTTTTTCTAGGTCCTTACCTGCCAAATTGGCTTTATGTAGCCAACTGATAGTTAGCATTGCTCTACATAGAAGAACGAATTGCTTTGGAGCTCCTTCAATCACTTTAGCAACACTAATAGCAAGGGATACCTTGATTCAAAAAATCCTTCTATGCTCATTATGCAGCCAAAGGTCTCAGCTCAACAGAACTCTGAGCTCAGATCCAGCTTACAAATAAAGACATTGCATTCCTTTAAGTGTCTTCTTTAATCCAGGCTGCTCTTGTCCTGCATGGGTGAAACTGAATGGAGGTGGCAGGGAGGTCTGTATAGCTGTGTTTAGAGACAAGACCCTGAAGCCAGATGTAGCCATGTGTCTCCCAGGGATCTTAAGTTCAACGTGAGAAGCCCAGACTCAGGATAGAGGACTGTCACCAAGAGAACTTCTCTGGCTCTTTCAATCAAACTCTGGTGGTTTTCTTCCAGGGCATGGCCCATGGGACCAAGCACGTGGTGTGTGGAGCTGTGCTCTGCTTCCTCGTGTTGATGTAACATGGGCCTTGGCAGGGCCCCACCACAGATGGGGCCCCTTGACATGTGTATGTTTTGATTTTGTGGTGCCTGCATGGTAACTAGAGCTGTCTGTCAAGGAAATTAATAAAATGGATGTGATGCTGATTCTTCAGTGCTATTAGCAGCAGGGAAAACCTCTGCCCAACTTTCCTCTGGACCCTGATGGGCCTCACCTCTAAAGCCAAGGACGTCCCCTCCAGCTCAGCTAATCCCATTGCCAAGTTCCTATTTAGGAAGAGCTTGTGGGAAAGGTTGGGCCTGGCCCTGGTGTAACTGAAAACACATTTTCTTCCAGGGGTTATGTTACCACATTATTTCTGCATAGGACCAACTCCTGCCTGTTTGGAAGTAGCTCTCTGAATATGGCCTTTTGACACTGAGATGGTCTTTGTGTTAGAATTTGCTAAGGTACATGACCTGGAAATCACAAGACTTCCCTTCATCTATTTTTCTCACTTAAAATAGAAACGCCTTATTCACGTGCTCCCCATTCTACATTGCTATCTTTGTGTACTTACCTCCAAATCCCAGATCTTTGTCTCCTTTAGGTCATGGTGAACACCATAATGGTACTCTCCTTGGCATGTCTTATGTATTGCCTCCCATTCCAGGGATCACAAAGCCCTCACTTATTTTTGTTGGGATGGAAAAGTAAACCTACAAATGGATTATTGTTTACAGAAATTGCTTCCTTCTCCAATGACCTCCGTATCCTATGACGGAGAATTCGTCAATATTTCCATGGGGACAAGCAGGCCTATTAGGATGGACAGGGAAGGGATGAGGCTTTGGCAGCACTTGATCCTTTGGGAACACTTAGCATTTCTGGAAGCCAAAGGTAAAGTGTTAGCTCACCCTCTCCCTTGCCCTAGGCCAGTTGTGTCTGGTTTTTGGTGCTGCAGAGCCCCTGCTAAAATAAGAGAAACAAGACTATAACAGCAAAGATGCAGCACAGGCAGAAGCACAATGACTATCCACTGAGCTTTTTAATTTAATATTTTTTTTTGTAGAGAGAGGTCTCCCTATGTAGTCCAGGCTGGTCTCAAACTCCTGGGTTCAAGCAATCCCCTGCCTCAGCTTCCCAAAGTGTGGGATTATATAGGCATGAGCCACTTCCACTGGGTTTTTTATCATGCATGAGACCAAAATGCCAAGACTGAAAGTGGGGGTGATACGTTTAATAAAAGGAAGAGGGACTACTGGCCAGGCATGTTGGCTCACGCCTATAATCTCAGCACTTTGGGAGGCTGAGGCAGGTGGATCACCTAAGGTCAGGAATTCAAGACCAGCCTGGCCAACATGGTGAAACCCCTTCTTTGCTAAAAATACAAAAATTAGCTGGGCATGGTTGTGCATGCCTGTAGTCCCAGCTACTCAGGAGGCTGAAGCAGGGAAATCACTTGAACCGAGAAGGTGGAGGTTGCAGTGAACCGAGATTGTGCCACTGCACTCCAGCCTGGGCGACAGAGCAAGAAGACTCCATCTCAAAACAAACAAACAAACAAACAAACAAACAAAAAAGAAAAAAAGAAAAAGAAAGAGGGACTACTGGTATACAGGAATTACAAAAGAGGCCCAGCCTGGAGGTACCAAGAAATATGGGGCAATGCTTCTTTATCTCCCCATCAATGTCACACTCAAAGATACCTACCCTAGCACCCCAAGTCATTGTCCCTGAAAACCTCACTCCTGTGTGGATATATCTCTGAATTGATCTAAAGTTTTTAGGAATCTTTTTATATTTTTACCCTATATCTTTGGGAGCAATGAATTTCTTAAGTTTGCTAACTACTGTTAAAATTTTTTTTTCTGGCTCTTTGTCCTTAATTTACTCCACTTAAACTTCAAGGCATGCCCTCTACAGCTTCTGGTGTGCTAGGATTTAACAAATCTATGCCGATTTTGTATCTAATACATTTAGGAAAGAGATTCAAGCTGGCAATCCAGGGGTCCTCCAGCTCAGCAGCTGCTGTTAAGGACAGGTTAAGCATTTTGTGCAGTAGGATCTTGTTTGAACCCCTGAGTTCCTTTAAGGAGTTCACACGAACGTCCTGATGCCTGTGAATTATCTGCATTGACATTATCAGCCAGCCCTGGAACATCCTGTTCATTTGCCACTGTCTGATCTCTTACTCCTAGCCTGTCAGGAATCTCCCTGCTGTCTTCTGTAAAGACCCAGGCAATGAACTTACTTAACCTATCTGCCATTGCCTCAGCACTGAATAAGTGGCCACACTTACTCTCTACTTGGCTTCCTCACTTGGATGTAATTTAAGATCCACTGATTTTTTTTTGTTTGTTTTTGTTTTTGAGTCTTACTATGCATACTGAGCTTCTCTTCAGCATATGAGGTTTCAAGTTGGGGCTTGGCCTGCCATCTTTATGAATTGTGCTATCATTCTTACTAGGATTAGCTGTCTTTGCACATGACAAATTGTGCGTCTGTATGTGTGTGAGTGTGTGTGTGTTTAGAGGGTGATTAACTCTTAACATTGTTTTTCCATCTACATTGAGACTTCCAATTTAGCACATTTAAATTATTCTCACAATTGCCAACTATTTTAACTCTGTTAATCTATCATTTTATACACACACACACACACACACACACAACCTAGAGCACGGTATGCTCTCCATGGTTATTTCTTTGTTGGATAAATCAGTTTTGAGAATGAAGAAAATATGTTACGCATTTCTTGTTTTTTTTTCCCTATGCCACAAGATTTGGAATTTGCGGGTGAAATGTTACTTAATATCGATAACAACACATGCTCCTCTATCATGTTTTCTGTTTTTGAATGAGAAAGCACTAGAGAAATCAGACGCATGCTATTCAGATTGTATCTTGGCTGAAGTGGATATGGCTGGACACAAAAAGTTTTTGTCCTAGCACTAACCATAACTAACCATAGCCAAGGGAATCATTTAAATATTTTTAGTCTGGGTTATGTTTATGTGTATATGTGTGCTTGTACATATGTATGTATAGAATTAGTCTGGTTTAGGAGCTAAAAATATAAATCAAGGACTTTTAATAATAGCTAAAAAATACTGATTCCCATGTGCTAAATCCCGTATTAAGTGCTTTAGCTGCAATGTCACATTTAATTCTCACAATGACCCTACCCAAACTTGTCACTATTATTATCCTTCTTTTACAGTGGCAGGCACTATAGGTTAAAAGAAGTTCAACAACCTGCACGAGGACGTATAGTTTGGAATTGACAAACT